TTCCTACCGTTCCTTGGGTGTCCTCAATCTGCTTGTGACTGCCTTCTCTTGGAGGCCCCCTAGAAATGCAGAATCTATGTATTGGGTTTATCTGAATGCAGAAATAATTTTCCTTTCAAACTAACACGTTTGGGCAGATCTTTGGGTTGTTAGACTCTTTTTGAATACTTAAATTCTTCCTGCCTGCTTCATTTCTCCTGCAGCTATCCATGGAGACTTCTTGCTCACGGGTGCCTATGATAACACAGCCAAGATCTGGACCCACCCAGGCTGGTCGCCGTTGAAGACTTTGGCTGGCCATGAGGGCAAAGTAATGGGCCTAGACATTTCTTCTGATGGGCAACTCATAGCCACTTGCTCATACGACAGGACCTTCAAGCTCTGGATGGCAGAGTAAGCAAGACCATGGAAGGCCTCGGACCTTGTGCTCTCACCAAGGAGCCATTTTCCTCAGAGGAAAAGAATTGTGCTGTGGTCTGTCCTGTTTTCTGCCAGATACCACGTGTAGGATTGGATTTTCACGTCGGCCCCACTTCTGAGTAGCCCAGTGTCTAGATGATCGTGGTTAGTGCAATCCTCGTCTCAGGTTCTGCCATAAACTGTGTAGACATTGTTTAGACTCATCACTTTTGAATGCCTTCCCACCTCTCTCGGTACTCAGGATTGTGGCTATTCTTCCTTCTTTTTTTCTTTTTTTGGTTTTTTCGAGACAGGGTTTCTCTGTGTAGTTCTGGTGCCTGTCCTGGATCTCGCTCTGCAGACCAGGCTGGCCTCAAACTCACAGAGATCCTCCTGGCTCTGCCTCCCGAGTGCTGGGATTAAAGGCACCACCGCCCAGCTGTTCTTTCATTTTTAAGTTTTTTAATTTGGCATTTTGAGACAGGGTCTGTCTATTTAGCCCTGACTGACCTGGAACTTGTGTACATGTCAGGAGGCCTCACATTGTAAGTGATCCTCCAGCCTCTGCCTTTCAAGTGATGGCATTCCAGAAATGTGCTGCTGCCCCTGACAGCTGCATTGTCTCTGTAGCGTGGTATGTGCTCCCTTCTACACGTGATCCAGCAAGAAGACAGCGGACTATATTTGAAATTCCCCCGTTAAGAGGGCATGCTGCTGCTGTGCATTGGTTGAGCAGGACCTGAGGGCACGCTCCTCTCCTGCCCCTGAGAATGAGATGTCAAGCAGTAGACTGCAACTGCATGATGGTTCCGCAGCAGAGATTTACCCTCTTCCTGTGGAGTTCACAGAGGATGTTAACTACATCACGGAACTCGGAACTGAACACATCTGCCTTGTTGGGGGAAACCTCTTCCATTTGCTTTGAAGTTTGGCATTCTTCCTGATAAGACAAGGCCACTGGATCCAGATTCAAATGAGTTTTTAGAAAACAAACATGATGTCTGGTACAACCTCCTTCTGTTGATTATTTAAAGGGTGTACTTTCTGTATTAAAGGGTACTTCATTGACAAAGTAAATGAGGGACAAATCCCTAATCTAGTTTGGGCATTCCCAAACATAAACATTTTTTCCTTATTATACACTTGCTGAGAGTAAAATCCTACCATAAAAATGTCTTTCAAAGGATTCTTTTCTAGTTCATCCTTTTATGAGTCTTAACCATTAGTCCAAAGAGGTTCCCTTTTTTAGTTTTGAGATCTAATGTAATTCCAGGTGTGAATTGTTCAGTTTCTATCACTGTTCACAGATTTTTATGGTGGGTTTTTCAGGGGGCAGGGGATAGGTTTTTTTAAGACAGGGTCTTGTTTTGTAGCTCATATTGGCCTCAGACTCTTAATGCTCCTGCCTCTGCATCTCAAGGTTTGTAAATTACAGGTGAAGGGGTGGTATTAACAGCCTTTGTAATGCTTGGCCTAGGAGAACATATTACAGTGAACTGTGTGTCTGGGTTCCATAATTCTTCATCAGTCTTGTGATTATCTCCACCTTCCCATTATGGGCATATATCCTCAGCTCCAGAATTGCACAGTAAATCCACATAAGAGTAATTTCAAAGAAGGTTGTGTATAGAGTAAAATTACCATGGACTTATGGTGGTGTCCCCTCCAGTATTCAAAACTACACTCTACCAGCTTCCCGTTCTGTTCTGCTCTTCTGCAGATTATGGATATGTGGTATAGAGCAAAACATGTTGTTCTTGGTTTTCTGTTTTGTATTTTAAGATAGGGTCTTACTATGTAGCTCTGGCTGGCCTGGAACTTGATGTATTAGACCAGACTGGCCTCAAACTTAGTAATCCACCTGCATCTGCCTCTCAAGTGTTGGGATTAAAGAGGCTGCCCACCACACCCAGCTAAACAAATTTTAATCTGATTCCAGTTATAACTAAACATTTCCTCTATAGCTGTAAGCTCAGGTCTACCCTTCTCTTGGCACTTACTGCCCTTGACCTGTTGGGTTCCTATGATAGTGTGCCATGGAAAGGACCTTTTTCTTGACTTTCTTGTAGTGTGTGTAAAATGATGAGACTGGTGTGCTACCCTGCAATCAGGATCTAGCACTCCAAGTTCCCCTTTCTCTGGTTTAAACTTTACTAGGACATTTTGGTTGTTCCAAGAGAGCATTTCAGTTGGAAATGCTCTGTGTAAACCTTTGTAAGGAAATGATTAGTGGAGCCTGAACGGCAGAACCACTGTTTATCACTTAACCCTGCCTAAGTGGTGCGTCAGGCACACCAAGACAGCTCCTTCTCCTAAGATTGCTGAGGTGGAGCGGGGTGGAGGTGGCGCACGCCTCTAATCCAGCACTCGAGAGGCAGAGGCAGGCGGATCTCTTGAGTTTTAGGCCAGCCTGGTCTACAGAGTGAGTTCCAGGACAGAGGACAGCCAGTGCTACACAGAGAAACTCTGTCTTGAAAACACCCCCCAAAAAAAAAGATTACTGAGATGTATTCCATTTTTATGGGCAAAACAGACTCAAGTGACCTGCTAGATTACCTGGCTTGTAAGTGGTGGAACCATTTGAGACTGTGAAGTGATTTCACAGAGCCTTATGGAGAAGGTTGGACACACGACAAGGCCAGGATGGCACATGTGGCCTGGTTGCTAGATAGCATTTTCACCTTTCTTGTAGATGCCATTGACAGATCACTCTGACTTATGAAAAATGGAGTTCTTTTTCCACTCCTATCTTGACTTGGAGCCTGTTGCTGTTGCTCAATGGATTTGTATTTCCGGAGAGGTGTTACTGCCCCATAGAACCAGCACAGCCGCAGGTCTATGTCCCCAACCTTAGCACACCCAAAGAAGATGTTCCTGTGTGTTTCTAGATGTGTGTTGCTGTAAGTGGGTGAGGTGCTTGTTAGGATTTGGTTCAGAAATGTCCCTGGCACTGTGGTGTGCCATTAAACCCTCGGGACAGGACCCGGCTGGTGCCGATAGGTCACCAGCTTCTGTTCCCAGCTGCTCTCTGCCTCCTGGTGTGCTGTGATGTAGCAAGCATCTGCAGCAGGCTCCCTGCACAGCTCTGTACCCTCTGAAACCGAGTCGGAGTCGAGCTCGCCTCAGGTTGTTTCTGTCAGCTATTGTCACGGTGACATGAAAGTGACTCACTCACACTGCCCTAGGGTTAGAAGTAATGTGTGAAGTAGAAGCCAGCACCCTAGACAGACTTCTGTCCAGTGTAACAAACTTACCAACTAGTTTTGGTATAGCCACCATCCTAAGAATCTAGTTAGTTAATTAAATATGCTAAATTTAGCACTTTTGGGCTTTGTGATGTTCTACCTTACTGAACTTCAGTTTCTTTATCTATAAGATAAAAATAGCGGGGCGGCGGTGGCACACACCTTTAATCCCAGCACTCGGGAGGCAGAGCCAGGCGGATCTCTGTGAGTTCAAGGCCAGCCTGGGCTACCTAGTGAGTCCCAGGAAAGGCACAAAGCTACACAGAGAAACCCTGTGTCGAAAAACTAAAATAAAATAAAATAAAATAAAATCTAAGTTCTATTCTTACAGAAAGGACTCCAGCACTTGGTAGCTGGATAGCCCTGGCCTGAGCCTGATCCAGCACGAAGCTTTCTTGGTCCCGGGGCTCGGGAGGAGGGAAGATGCTCCTTCTTGGGTTCTTACCAGCTCCTCTCTGCCCATCCTGGTTAGCTCAGAATGTGGTGAGGTAGCTGCCTAACTTAGTTGCCACCAAGTTAAGAAGCAAAAGTGCAGAGAAATGAAGTCCGTGGGGACGGAGTCGGCGTCAGCGCAGTTACCTGGTGCGGTCAGTGGAGACAGGCGCTGGTCTCAGGAGGAACATCCAGGGACCTTTCCAGTTTCGTAATGGAGAATTTTCCTCCACGTCAGCGCTTAAAACTGTCTGGATTACTAAGCCAAAATAGAGTTTATATCTTGACTATTTTATAGCATCTTTGACCCCTAAGGAATTTATAAATAAATGACACTTCTGTGAAAATACTATTTAGAGCAAATAAAACTGGCTCAAGTTCTGACCTCGGACAGCTTATTCTATAAATCAAAAAGGGAAATGTCTTCCTGATTGTGTGTTAGACACATTGGGATTGCTTCAAAGTCTGGTGCCAGACAGACACGTTCAGGCCAGAGAATCAGAACTGACACATGGCACAGTGCCAGTCTGCCCCAGAGCAGCTGGCCTGGCTCTTTCAGATACTTGATTCTGGGGTCTGTCATAAGAGAAGACCTGGGTCACCCCTGTGCCCTGGGCTCCTCAAGCCTGAGATGGGGCTGGAGCATTCCTTCCTCCCAGGGGTCCTCCCGCCAGAGTTCTGGTGCTGGCCTCAGCTCCATCCGCCCTGCAGCTGCTGACCAGGGCAACAGACCTTTGCCCCACAGCTTCCTTCACCTTGACATTGATTTCTTCACACTGCGTGCTGAAGACATCATCCTGCACACCCTCCCTTCCACTGAGAGCCACCCCCCACCCCCCATCATTCTCTCTCTTCTTCCCTCTGTCTCTGCCCAGTAAATGGTCATGGAAGGAAGAAACCAGTGGATTAAAGAATGCAGGCTGATTTTACTGGGAATGGTGGCGAGAATCAGGAAGGCTGAAAGGGGAGCCAAGCGCGTTGGCCCACAAACCCAAACACTGCAGAACTGTCGACAACAGACGAACAGCTCAACACAGCGCCGGTGGTGGGTGCTGCAAGCCATCGCAGCTGGTCGGTCTGGACAGTGCCGTCCAGCCCTTTGGCACAGCTTGCTGTGGGACCCCGGAGCCACAGAACTGCTCCTCTACACTCCATGCCCCCACAGTTCACTTCCAGGTCTCTGTTCTCCAAAGCAGACGCATGACCTAACCCATCCCTGGGCTGTCAAATGAGCAATACCACACAGACTGACAACGTCAACGGCGGCTCGGTAGTCCCCATTACAGCCACCACAGAGAAAGGCGTGGTTCCTTGTGCTGGCACAGAGAATGCTCACCCCATGCCCCCAAAGAACTGCTTAGTCCAAAAGATGGAGAAGATGAGCAGCAGGGTAACACTGAGGATGACGGCCATCAGGTAGGCAAAGATCCGGAAGTGAGGGTTGCGGATGCACTCTCTGAGAGAGTAGTGGCTGGGGATGGGCACAGGCCTGGCGTCGGGGGCTGTGTTCGGAGGGGGTCCGGTCTGGCTCCCGGGCTCCGGGCCAAGGTCCAGGGTATAGACCCGAGGCTGACGCAGTAAGTAACGGCTCTTGGGTTGGTCCTTGAGACAGAGCTGGTGACCCTCGAGGATGACGTGGTGGGGCTCTAGGCGGAGCAGGGTCAACATGGCAGTATCTGTCGGCAAGTCCGTGACCGGCTGCCCTGAAGCCAGTACGGTGGGCTGACGGCAGAGTGGGCAGAGCAGGCGGCGCCTGGCTGGGGCTACCAGGCTGAGGTGGGCCAGGCATTCCACGCAGAAGGAGTGACAGCAGTCCAGCACTTTGGGGGTGTGGAACGTGTTGTTGAAGGGGTTCCAGCAGACGGGACACTCAGCTGTGAGTTCCTGGCCCTGTGGCTCGGCCATCCTCCGATCACATGCAGGGGAACCCCACAGGGGATGTCCTGGTAGAGAGAGAGAGTAAAGCACACCCATGGGGCTCTGTCCCTGAGCTTGGTCTGCAGCCCTCAGCTCGGAGAGGCTAAAAGCTGTCTACCCGCATTTCACAGGTGGGAGGATGCATGTCTAAAAGCATATTGTCCACCGACACCCCGTCCTGATCACTGACTGAAGTCTGAAGCTGTCCATCACCGAGGGTGAAGGCCTGAGCCACCCTATGAGTCACCCTACCCTAGCACCCGTAGAATGAGCCGGTAGTGGAGGGGGCCACACCGGGGCTTTGGAGATGACTGAAACGTCAGCCTTCCCTCCCTGCATTTACTCTAGGCTGCCTTGGCTCGATGCAGCAAGAGAGCATTACACATTCGGTGAGTCTCCGTTCCTGCAGCCTCAAATCCCTAACCAGAGCAGAGATGGGCTCTGTGAGTTCCCTGGTCTGTCCCTCCGCTGGGGACAAATGCCAGCCCCCTTTCTGCTCTTTCCTTTGGGCCAGAGGCCAGCTCTTCACAGCTGACTGACTGGTCCTGGTCCTAGGGAACAACTCTTGAGAAGACTCCCTCACTCAGGCCACTAGATCAGCTCTGTGTTTCTTCCCAGTTCTCACCTCCCATGGCTCCTCCTTCCCGCTTTCTCCCAACACCCACCTGGGCTTCTGTGGACTGGAGAGGGGGATCAGAGAGACCACTCTGAAGGGTATGAGTTTCCCGTCTTTCCCTCTCCTGAATCCTCCTAGCTTTGGGAAACTGCCGCCTTGCCACCAACCCCAGGGCCGTTTCCATGACAGCATGCTCACAGCACCTGGAGCTGCCAGGTGGCCCTGGCTGCAGCCTTGGCACACCTGCCTGGAGTCAAGGCCAGAGACCTGCCAGGGTGGTGCCTGGGAGACCCAGATGAGACACACACACACACACACACACACACAGAGGGCGTGGCAACCAATTGAATCTAGAGCAGATACAGGTCGGAGGGTGGCTCTTTTCATACCTGAAATCCCTGGACTGGAAAGGTAAGGGTGACAGTTTCCTCTTTCAGGATCACCATGAGGGCAAGTCTTCTGGGTTTCCTCTCTCTTGGGCCCTCATCTCTTTCCTAAAACGCTGGAACCTCCTCCTTGCGTTAAGGAGTTGCCTGCCGTGCACTTCGCTTGCTCACAAACCTCTAAGATCTATCAAATCCCCAAAGCCTGTTCCTCTCCTTTTCACCGCTCATCTTGGAAGCGACAACCAAGGCAGGCAAGCCTTGGGGACAGGGACAGTTCCAGCCCCAGAGCTGGCCGTTCTGCCCACCTTGGAGAGGAGCATTTGAGCCCTGTTTCCCCATTTCAAGCGGAAACATTTGGCTTTTATCTCTTGCTTATACTGGCCGTTTAAATGATTTGAAGAGTTGAGTTGCTGTGGGGGAGGTATTTAAGGAAACTACTCCATTGAAACCATTCACTTTACACATGGAAACAGGAAGTGATTCTGGCTAGTTCCTATGACACTGGGACACATGTCTGGATTCCCAGTCCATGTGCTGCAGTCACAAAGACGCTGCATCCATTCCGTCCACCTGTGGGATGTGTGGAAAGAGCTACATAGGAAGGACTCCTGTTTCCTCTGAGATTCCTTGTGTCAGTTAAGATTCTCTGGGTAGGAACCCAGGAATCGTGCAAAGGAAGACTTCGGGGCAGTGTGACTTCCTTGATAAAATGTTCTATATCCTGAGCAATTTGATACCAAAGCAAACCCTGTGTCCACTTTTACTTCCTGGTTTTGTCTGGACCTCAGTCACAGCTCAAACATGGACTAAGGAGATGAAGACATTCCGGGAGGGATGGATGGCACAGCCATAACCAAAGCTGGCACAGCCACTGGACGTGTGCTGATGCCAAGCAGTGAGCCATCCATTCCTTCCTGATCAGGGAATGCCTACCACATGCCAGGTGCTGTATTAGGTACTGACAGATAAAAGTGAACACAATCGGCCTCGTCTTTGATCTCATGATGTTCATAGGCTGCTGAGGCAAAACTGATGTCTCATGAGTAATGAGAAACAAATTACATTTTATATATATGCAGCTCTGGATGTCCTAGAACTCATTATTTAGATCAGGCTGGCCTCAAACTCACAGAGATCCACATGCCTCTACTTCCTGAATGCTGGGATTAAAGGCGTGTGCTACTACACCTAGTGTAGTATTACACCTAGTGAAACACATGATTATAACAAATGCTACAAAGAACAAAAAAGGAAATGAATAGAAAGTTTCTCCAAAGAGGTGATGTGCCTGCTAAGTCAAGGTTGAAAACAATCCAGCCAGGCAGAGTGGAGGAAGAGCGTTACAGGCCCAGGAAACAGCACATCTCAAAACCCAGAGGTGAAGTCTGCCAATGTGAGAAAGAAAAGGCCAAGATGGCTGAGGGGCTGGGTAAGCGAGAGTTCGAAGTGCTCAGAGTGAAAGCAGGAAGCAGGGTCTGTAAGTTCCAACCTCATTTGAGTTTTGTTGATGGGGTATGCCTAATCCTTGACTTGCTTTCATTTTCATTTGTTTGGAGGCTTTTGTTTGTTTGAGATAGGGTCTTATGCTAGAGCTGAGGCTGCCTTGAACTTGCTATTTGTCCAGACTGGCCTTGAACTCACGGTTCTCTTGCCTCCTGAATCCCAAGTGCTGAGATTACAGATGTGAGCCACCATGGGATTCCTAAATCCATTTTATTTTTAATATAAAATTTTTTGGTATTAAGTGTATATCTGTACACCAAATGTATGCCCGGTGCCCATGGAGGCCAGCAGAGGGTGTCGTTTTCCCCCAGGGACTGGAGTTGCAAACATTTATGAACTATCATGTGGGTGCTAGGAATTGAATCTGGATCCTCTGGAAAAGCAGCCAGTGCTCCTAACTCCTGAGCCATTTCCATTTTAAAAATGGCAATCCAGCTGTAGTACAGAGAAGAGACTGGAAGGGCCAAGAGTGAATACAAAAGATCAGTTATGGCCACAGCGGTTAGTTCAAGTGTGTGACGGTGATGTCTGCTGTAGGTCTGGTGAGGGTACAGCTGGAAGAATACAACACACAATAACTATCTGAAAACTGTTCAGCGTCCTCAGCCATCAGAAAGTGTCAATTAACATTGAGATTGCACCTCACCTGGTCTGAACGGCTATCAAGAAAACAAAGAACAAAAGTGGCGACCAGGTCTCCATCTAGGTGCTCCGTGGGGAACTTGCCGCCAAGCCCCATGACCTGAGTTCTAGCCCCTGGAGCACATAGTAGAAGGGAAGAACCAACTTCCGTCAGCCGACCTCCGACCTCCACACATGCACATGCTCCTCCAAAAGAAGTGAATGTAAAAAAGTAGATAAAAAGGGAAATGAGTGTCGGGCGATAAGGACTTGGAGGAGGAGGGAACTTTGTACACTGCTGGTGGGAGTGCAAACTGCGGGAAGCACTATGAAAATCAGTCTGGGGCTCCTTGAACAACGGGAGCAACTCTGTGACCCAGCCATGTTCGTCCTGTGTGTGAACCTGGGCGAGCCTAAGTCAGCAGAGCAGATACGTATCCACAGAGACATCTGTCCACTGCTGCACTATGAACAATAACCAAGACATGGAACCAGCCTAGATGCCCATCAGTAGATAGTGGATTTTTAGAATAAGTGTTAGGTATACACAATGGAGTTTTATTCAGCCATAAAGGGTGAAATTACACCATTAGCAGGAAGGTGGATGAAACTGGAGGTTACCATGGTAAGCAAAATAAGCCAGAATCAGAATGAAAAATGTGTATTTTCTCTCATATGCAGAATCTAGATTTAAATGTATCTGTTCCTATATATGTGGATGGATGGAGGATATAGGGGTAACTAGAGAGGGTAACTGGAGGGGAAGAAGGAAATATCACATGCTTCTTCTCAATTGTGGAATGGAGACATATATGCATATGTGGGTGTATATATGGGACATAAAAACAAAGGAATACTATTTGAGGAGGAGAAGGGGACCAGCGAGAGAGATGAGGAGGAGGAGAGAGGACAGTGAGGTGATGGAGGAAGGTACAATGATGTACATGTATGAATATGACATTATGAAGCACATTGTTTTGTATACTAACTATAAACTTTTAATTAAAAAAAGAAATAAGGAAATGGTGGGATTTGCATGAAAGATACCTTCAGAGACAGAATCAAAATCATTTCCAGGAAGCCAGGAGGCATCTTGGAAGCAAGGTTATAGATTCTGGAACCAAGTTGTTGGGGCTCTACCACTTGTTAGGACTATAATTCCAAGTGAGTTGCTTAACTTCTCTTGACTCAATTTCCCTTTGTGAAAAAGAAAGCTAAAAGTCATGAAGCATTTAGTTTGTTTTCTTAAAGTACTCAGGATTGAACCCAGGGCATTGCTCATGCTAGGCAAGGATCACAAACTGTATCCAATTTGTAAATGAAGCTTTTAGATAGAGCCCAGGTCAAGAGGATGGACACAGACTGCAGAGACAACTGAGTCTTAAGAATTCATTCTGATGGGCTGGAAAGATGGCTCAGCGGTTAGGAGTACTGACTGCTCTTCCAAAGGTCCTGAGTTCAATACCCAGCAACCACATGGTGGCTCACAACCATCTGTAATGAGATACAGGCAGAACACTGTATACATAATAAATCTTAAAAAAAAAAAAAAAAAAAAGTCGCCGGGCGGTGGTGGCGCATGCCTTTAATCCCAGCACTCGGGAGGCAGAGCCAGGTGGATCTCTGTGAGTTCGAGGCCAGCCTGGGCTACCAAGTGAGTCCCAGGAAAGGCGCAAAGCTACACAGAGAAACCCTGTCTGGAAAAAAAAAAAAAAGTACATACTGCTCTTGTAGAGGACTAAATTCAGTTCCCAGAACCCACGTGGAGTGGCTCACAACTGCCTGTAACTCCAGCTCCAGAGGACCCAGTGTCACTGGCCTCCTCTGCACTACATACACATGCAGGTAGCCAGTTCTGTTTGAAAGGTGATTTGCATTATTACTGAAGATGGATTTAAGAGGGAGACATTCTGCAGCCTTTAAAATGATGTGATAAAACAATTCTTATTTGGAGTTTGTCTATGATATAACATTATGAAGTATTAAAGAATCAGTGATAAGACAATTACAACAGAATCTACTTTGAAAAATGTGTGCACTATGGAAAAATATCTACCGAAAGATAACTACCAAGTATTTTTTGTTGTTTGTTTGTTGGTTTATGGCAGGGTCTCACTTTGTAGCTCTGGCTTGCCTGGAACTCTCTATGTAGACCGGGCTGGCCTCCAACTCACAGTGATCCTCTAGTCTCTGCTTCCCAAGTTCTAGGCTTAATGGCGTGCACTGCCACTCCTAGAAACCACTCACTATCAATAGTGGTTCTCGATGTGGGCAAAAACGTCAACCTGGCTTATTGCTAGAGTTTTTGTTTTTAATTCTATTACTTGAAAAAAATGTTAACTTTGGGGCTGGAGAGATGGCTCAGCAGTTAAGAGCACCAGCTACTCTTCCAGAAGATCTAGGTTCAGTCCCCAGCACCCACAGGGCAGCTCACATCTGTCTGTAACTCCAGCTCCAGAGGATTCAACACCCTCACACAGACATACACGCAGGCAAAACACCAATGCACATAAAATAAAAATATATAAATCATTTTTAAAAAAAGAAAGAACGAAAACATTAACTTTATTCTGGTAAGCTTGTCTTCCTATCCCTGAAGATCTCCCGTGTCAGCCTAGATCAGATGACCTACATTCTCTCTGAAGTCCCATGGCCACAGCTCTAAATGCATGATCAGTAAAGAGATGCAACTGTTGCTTGGGTCCTTATCAGAGGTGCTTCTCTCAGACACCCACTGTACAGAGTTCAGTGTCTCCAGGAGACACTCGGGGACTTATGGGCTCCAGCTTCCCACCTGGACAGGTCAGCAATGGTAAATTCTACGCAGCACCCGGCAGTCACTATTAACGGTAACTTGTTTGTAGCCTCTGCTCCATGTTGTCAACACCCTGAGAGCAGGCATAGAAAACGGGCATTCTGGTGGCACTTGCTGGCTTTCCAAGGGGGCTGGTCCTTGCCAGGAGCTGAGTGTGGTAACACTCGAGAAAGTGTAATTGCCTTTTACAACTGTTTCTGTTTTTATGAGGCCCTCTGATTCTCTAAACCCAGGCTAGAAACAAGCCAGAGTGGGGAGTAAAAAGTCTTCACGATGTGAAACAAGACTCTCGCTGAACTCAATGAGTGATGACTCCACTTCTCTGAACTCCACTTTCCTGCACTGAAGAAGCTTATGACCCCTCCTCGCAGGCTGCTGTGAGGGTGGCATCGACCTTAGCATGCCACAGTGGGTGGTCAGCACAGAAGCCAGCATGATTTTCTTAATGCCCGTCTGATAGATGGCAAAGGTGGGGCTCGGGATGGAAAAGGACGTGGCCAGGGTTGCAGAGCTTGAAAACTGACCCAGGAGCCTGCCTTCCAGGTCAGAGTTCACACTAAGTAACACCACCTGCACTACCCGCTCCCACCCCTTACCTTGTAGACCCCGTCCCCACCCCTTACCTGGTAGACTCCCTCCCAACCCTTACCTGGTAGACCCTCTTCCTAGTCTTCACCAGCTTCAGCCAGCCTCCTCCTCCTCTCTCAGCAGTCTCCAGGCGGGTGCTTTGGTTTCTCACTTCCGCCCTGGCTTCCAGGTTGCTGGGGGCCAGCCTCATTTGCATGGGTCTCCCAGCTCTTGATCCACTCTGGCTGGTTCTCTCGTCGGGCGACTTTGGACCTCTGCACATACGAGAGACCTAGACGTTTACTTCTGTGAGTC